AGCCTAGCTCAAGATTCAGTCAGAGACCCTGAATTTAGGGAATAAGGTAGAGAGTAACAGAGCAAGACACCCAATGACTTCCTCTGGCCTCCATGCATAGACCACAGACACAGACACACACAGTAATGAATAAAATGGGGTAAAGAACTAGAGAATGGGGACTAGAGAGATGGCTCAGTGGTTAAGAGCACTGGTTCTTGTAGGAGACCCGGCTTCGAATCCCAGCACCCACATGGCAGCTAACAACTGTCTGTAACTCCAATTCCAGGGGATCCAATGGCTTCTGTCCTCCAGGCATTGCATGACACGGGTGCACTTACCCACACGCAGGCAATACATGCATACACATAAAATAAAAATAATAAAATATTTTTTAAAAAAAAGAACTAGAGAATGATGGAAGTGGGGACTATTTTATCATGCATTGGTCAAGAATCGAACCTGGGCCTCCTGTGTGGCAGGTGCGAGTTCTACCACTGAACCACCAATGTTAGCGGGGACTATCTTGGAGGAATGCCTCTTTGAAGAAATGGATTTGGATAACCATAAATAGAGGGAGGAATCTGTCATATGAAAATCTTGGGGGACAAGCATCTCAGAATGGCACATGCAAAGGCCTTGAAGCAGGAATTAGCTTATATTGTGGAAAAGAAGGTAGGTGTGGCTGGAAAGGACAGAGAAGCAAACAGGTGAGACTTGAAATCTTGGGGAAATGTTGAACTTTGTTTGGGGAGAGATCAGAAGCCTCTAAGGGGGCTGGTTGGTTTGCATGTTGGTTTGTTTGGTTTGCTTGTTTGTTTGAAGCAGGGTCTCTTGCAGACCATGCTGGCCTTGAACACACCATGTAGAATGAGAATGACCTTGAACTCCTGATTCTCCTGCCTCCATCTCCCAAATGCTGGGACTACAGGTATGTACCACTACACCCAGCTCTACTGGAGGATTTTAAACATTTTATTTATGGGGCTGGAGAGATGGTTCAGCTGAGTAGTACCCGTAGAGGACAGAAGAGCATGTCAGGTATTCAGATCCCCTGGAATTGGAGTTACAGAGAGTTGTTAGCCACCATGTGGGTGCTCGGAACCAAACCCGGGTCCTCTTTAAGAGCAGCCAGTGCTCTTAACTGCTGAGCCATCTTTCCAGCCCCATTTTTAAAATCTTTTTTAAAAAATACGCATTATTTTTATACTGGAGGTTTTAAATAGCAAAGCATGATCTGATTCAGGCTCTAGAAAGATCCTTTGGTCTGCTGTTAAGAGAATGAATCATAGGGAGTGAGATGGCTCAGTGGTTAAGAGCATTAGTTGCTCTTGCAGAGATCTGGGTTTCGTTCCCAACACCTACATTGCAGCTAACAACTGTCTGCAACTCCAGTTCCAGGGGATCCAATGCCCTCTTCTAGCCTCTGTGACAAGCACCAGGCATGCATGTGTTGTATATAAATACATGCAGGCAAAACATTCATACTCATAAAATAAAAATAAATGATATCTTTTGAGAGAGAATGGATCATGAAGCTGGACGCAGTGGCACATGCCTGTAATCCTGCAGTGGGAGGCAGAGGCAGGAGGATCACTGCAAGTTCAGTGCCAGCCTGGTCTACATAGTGAGTTTCAGGCCAGCCAGAACTACATAGCAAGACCTTGTCTGAGAGAAAGGGAGAGAGGGAATAGATAATAATGGAAAGAGAAAAAGTGAGCAAAAGAAGGCTGATACAATTGTTGATCCAAGGGAGGCTTGTGGCCTGGACAAAGGTGGTGTTAGCCAAGGAAGTAAGCGGTTGTTAAAACCTAGGAGACACGGTTCCAAATAAACCCCTCCCCATGAAAGCAGGAAGAACTTTAGAGATCAAAAAGTCAATGAACTTTGGAGTCCGTTAGTCCTGGTTTTCAAGCTCAGCTCCACAAATTCGGGACAGATTTCTGAGCCTTAGTTTTCCCAGCTGTAAAATGGGCATAAGAAAGTGGGCTTCCAAGGTGTGTCTTAAATTTTAGTACCATGTAATAAAAAAGTATAAAGCACAAAACTTGACATTAAGTAGCCACTCAAATCAACCGTGACTCAGTTCCCTATAAGGAACAGGCTAACAGGACATGGTGATTCATGATTATGATCCTAGCCTTTGGGCAGCAAAAGAGGCAGTACAATTTCTGGGAGTTTAAGGTCAACCTGAGATAAATAGTGAGGGTTTTTTTTTTGTTTTTTGCTTTTTGAGACAGGGTCTCCCTATAGCCCCAGCTAACCTGGAACTCACTATGTAGACCAGGCTGGCCTTGAACTCACAGAGATCCACCTGCCTCTGCCTCCCGAGTGCTGGGATTAAAGGTGTGCGCCACCACACCCAGCTTAAATAGTGAGTTGTAAGAGTTTCTGGACATTCTGGACTACAGAGTAAGACCTTGCCTGGAAAGAAAGAAAAGATGGAGATAGGGGGTGGGGAGGGAGGGAGAGAGAGAGAGAACAAAGAAGAGACTAAGGGTGCTTGCTGCCAAGCCTGAGGTCCTAAATTCAATCCCTGGGTCTCACATAGCAGGAGAGAACCAACTCCCACAGGTTGTCCTTCAATCTTCACACGCACTCTGTGGTACACACACTAATAATTTTTTAAAAATATTTTATTTGTTGCCGGGCGTGGTGACACATGCCTTTAATCCCAGCACTCAGGAGGCAGAGGTAGGCAGATCTCTGTGAGTTCAAGGTCAGCCTGGTCTACATAGTGAGTTCCAGGACAGCTGGGGCTACAGGGAGATCCTGTCTCAAAAAGATAATAAATTTTATTTATTTTTATTTTATGTGTATGTAATTGCCTGCATGTATGTAAGTGCACCCGTGTCATGCAATGCCCTCAGAGAACAGAAGAGGCTGTCGGATCCCCTGGAACTGGAGTTACGGACAGTTGTTAGCTGCCATGTGGATGCCGGGACTTGAACTGGGGTCTTCTGCAAGAACAGTCAGTGTTCTTACCCACTGAGCCATCTCTCCAGCTTCCATAATAATTTTTAAAATATTTTATTTATTATTTTTATTTTATTTGTATGACTGTTTTGCCTACATACATATAAGTGCACCTGTGCATGCAATGCCTGTGGATGCCAGACAAGGGTGTCAGATCCCCTGGAACTAGAGTTATGATGGTTGTTACACCATATGGGTACTGAGAATTGAACCCAGGTCCTTTGGAAGAATAGCAAATGTGCTTAAGCACCACCATCTCTCCAGCCCCAATAAAAATGGAAGGAAGGAAGGAAGGAAGGAAGGAAGGAAGGAAGGAAGGAAGGAAGGAAGGAAGGAAGGAAGGAAAAGAAAGAGAAAGGAAACAGACCAGCTAGAAGGGGAAGAGAGAGATGGTAGTTAGTTTACAGGGTTCTTCCAGTCCCATACCACATGATAAAACAGAAATAAAGAAAACATCAAAATTTCCAAGGAGGGACAGGAAGAATGACTCAATAGTTAAGGGTGCATACTGGTCTTATGGAAGACCAGAGTTCAGTTCCCAGCACTCATGTTAGGTGACTCACATGTAACTAGACTGTAACTCCAGCTCTAGGGGATCCACCCCCTTAAAAACAGGTTTGCTACCTCCCAAGGCTCCTCCAATATGTAGAGAATAAAGGCCAAATTCCTTAATATCCAAGGCTGTCTCTCTTTCATCATCAACTCATATTTCAATAAAACAAAGTGGCTAAGAACATGTAGTAGCCGGCCATGCTGCTGGACTCCCAGCTCTGCAGCTTACTGGCTGTGTGAGGCGTGACAAGAGTTTTGCCTCTCTGTGCCTTGGCTTCCTCAAGAACAAAGGAAGCACTAGCACCTGATAGGTGAGGTGATGTGACACGAACACCTTAGCATGTGTTCCCATCCTTCCCATCCTGGGAAGGCTTGAAGAATCAGTGATTACCACCATCCACATACTCCCTCCAGTCTCTAGTTACTGGACCACTTGCCAGCCCCGCTCTCACTCACACCTCACTCCCTTGGTTGCTTTCTGTTATCTATCCATTAAAGTGCTCTATGGCACCAGTATGGTGGCTCTCACCTGTAATCCCAGCACTCGGGAGGTTGAGGCTAGAGAAGTGCCAGGAGTTCACTGCCAGCCTGGGTTATACGGTGAGTTCCAGGCTCGCCTGAGCTATGGAGTGAAACTCTTGTCTCCGAAAACCTACCCAACCAACAAAAAGCCCACCACTCTATGCTAAGGCCCAGCTTAAATGTCATCTACTTTAAGACTCCTTGTCCCCATCAGTCCTCCTCTGGTTCTTTTGCAGGTTGAGACACTCACAGCCTCACCCACCCTCATGGGCTTTGTCCTCCCTGCTAGTTCGCCCCTTCCTGAGTGTGTGGGAAGTGAGGCTTGGCTTTGAGCTCCAGCCCTGGGTCCCAGCTGGGTCTGGGGACCATGCCAGTCTTTGAAGCTCAGTCATCAAATTGAATCCTCCAGCTATGCTGTGCCCTGCCCCTGGCCCCTCCCTGAGCCTCCTTTTCCTTTTCTGTAACAATGTGGCCCAGAAGGTGGCTGTAAAGACAGGTAGGAAAACATGGGCCCTTTTCTCCAATTTGCCTCTCAATCAGTCTGGCTTGCCTCCTACCTGGAGCAGATGGGGAGGGAAGAGACCACTGGTGGTGGGGGCACTGATGACCCCATTGGGGATAGACTTCTGGGATTCTGACTTTTCACATGAAAATATAGACTGCTTACCCAGGGCATTTGTACTCTATGCTCTGTAATAACCATCCCAGGAGCATCTTTGGGAGAGAAGGGGTTCACAGGGTCTCAACCCAGGCTGACCTGTCTCTGCTTCCTGAGTACTGCTGAGTGCTAGAGTTACAGGAGAGCACCACCAATTCTGACAAGTCACCTACCCCTCTATGATCGCCCTGGCTGGCTGCGGTGAGATTGCCACAGGGCACCTCACCCTGTTCTAGAGGCAAGTGCTGCCACCTCTGGGTTTAGAAAGGAACTGACAAAGCTCAAGCCCAGGCCATATGGACACAAGTCCTTGATAAAAAACATTTATTGAGATTGAGCACGTTCCAAGTCTTGGGTCCTGTGCCCAGCCTTTTACACATTTCAACATACTCTGTCCTTAGGAAACCTATAGGTGGAATTTCAATTTCAAGCCCTACTGTACGGTTGAGGAACAGAGCAAAAGGAGGTGACACGACTTGCTGGAGGTCACACTGCAAACGTGGCAATTCTTGGATTTGAATGAATGATGTTGAAGGTCTCCTACATGCCCAGTCACAGAGTCTCTGATGATGCCATCAAGAACTGTTCGGTAATGATCCAAAATACAAGGACTCCACATCCAGCTCCCTAAACAGTAGCTTGCTCGGAGGCCACTCCAGGCAGCCAGGATGGTACCACCCTGCCTTCTCTTGGAGGAAATCCAAGTACCAGCCTGGATCAGCCAGGCTCTGGGGATCAGCCAGTCCCTGGGCGGCTCCTCTGGCCACCTGTCTTGCGGTTGTTCTACCCTGGAGCCACAGTGTCTGCGTCAGGCCCCAAGAACACTGTAGGGCTCCCCAGCAGGATGCTGGGCACAGGACAGCCACGATATAGGGTCGATAACTGATTTCCAAAAGGACAGTGGCCCGCCCCTGAGGCCCAGCCCGCCATCACTCGGAGGCCTGGATGTAGACTGGCACCGCAAGCATGGCGCACGCGCCCTCTGCCCCCGCCTGCAGCTCAGCCAGCGCCAAGTTGGAGCCCAGTCCCTCGGTGTGCCCGGGCACCACCAGCTCGGGGTCCCCGCCCACCGTGCCGCCCACCACGATGGACAGCACCGCGTCCTGCTCGGCGAAGGGCGGCTTGCCCGGCGCGGCCTCGGGAGCGGACCCTGCACTCTTCAGCTCCTCCAGCCCCAGCGGGTCCGGCGCGGGACTCGCCGCCTTGTGCCCGCCGCTGCTGCCACCGAGCGGGGCCGCCCTCTTCCGGGGAGGCCTCCGGGCTTGCAGGTCCTTGTCCTTCGGGGGCCCGAGGCGGCAGCGGTGATCCTTGAGGTATTTGTGCCGGGAGAAGCCCTTGGCGCAGCCGGCGCAGCGGAACTTGTAGTTGCCGGTGTGCGCGCGCTGGTGCTCGGTCAGGTGGGCGCGGCGGCTGAAGGATTTGCTGCACAGCCCGCACTTGTGGAGCTTCATGCCTGAGGGGAGAGCGGGCGTCAGGGAGGCGCACCCGCCCCTGCCCTGCGCGGCGTCCTGCCCGGGAACAGACCAGTCCCCAGCCGCACCATCATCGGTGTGGTCCAGCCTCGGGGGCTCTCTGTACTCTCATCTCTCCCTTCCTTGCAGCCCGTCACTAGGGCACTGAGCAGGCTCCTGCCCGCGGGCCTTAGCAATTGCTGTTTCCACTGCCAGCAACAATCCTGGATCCCTAAGGCTTGGTGAACTTTGCAGGTCGCATCACTTCTCACCTGGATGCTGGGGCTGCCACCTCCCCTCCACTGCCTGCCTCACTGTGCCCTCAGACCACTGCCCCTGGGGAGCTAGAGATGTCTGTAAAACACAAACCAGCCTGGGGCTTGCTGTCCAAACCTCCCACTGAGGCCGTTTCCTAAAACCAGTGTTCCATCCGACTTCCCGATTCCTCCATCCCATGCCCTGTGCTCAGACCTCCCCACTTTTCCCTGTCCACCGCCAGCACTTGCAGCTCCCTTTCCCAGAAAAGCTATTTAGTGAATTCTTTCACTGCACAGGCCTGAGTTTCTAGGAGGACCTTCCTGATCCCCATACTCACCCTGCCTCCTTTTGAAAAACATTCACCCTTCACCTCCTGGGGATGGGGGCTCAGAAGGACAGTGACATGCCAGACCCCACCAAGCAACGGGCAACACCAAGACTCAAAGCCTAGCATTCAAAGTACTTGATTACTCTGACCCTATTTTTGTTTTCTTATTTGAGACAGGGTCTCCCTGTAGCCCAGGTTGGCCTAGAACTCAAAGGGATTCACCTGCCTCTGCCTCCTGAGTGCTGGGACTAAAGGCAAGCACCAACATGCCTGGCTTCACCCATTTTTTAAATAGGGTCTCATGTAGCTCAGACTGGATTTGAACTTGCTATGAAGCCAAGGATGACTTTGAGTTCCTGATCCTCTGGCCTGTACTTCTACAGTGCTCAAATTACAGCTATGTTCCACCATACTGTTTATAATATCACTGGGGACCAAACCCAGGGCTTCATGTATGTTAGGCAAGTGCTCTGGCCACTGAGCTACATCCCCAGTTCTACACCCCCCCCCTTTTTTTGAGGCAGGGTCTCACCATACAGCCATGGCTAACCTGGGACTCACTATGTAAACCAGGCTGGCCTCAAACTCACAGAGATCCCACCTGCCTCTGGTTCCCAAGGGCTGGGATTAAAAGTGTGCACTACCACACCAGGCCTATTTTCCCATTTTAAAGCTTTTCTTGGTCACTGAATCTTTTCAGTAAACCAGTGGTTCTTGAACAGGAGAAACTTTATCTCCCAGGGGACTTTGGCAGTGTCTGGAGACATTTTTGATAGTTACACTATGGAGAAAACGACACCCACATACCATGGGGTAGGGGAGGTATGGCATGTTCCTAAACATCCAACAGGGCACCACAGTCACCTCCCTTCCTCAAGGAATTATCCAGCTCCAAAGGTCCATAGTGTCAAGGAGGGGGGTTGGAGAGATGGCTTATGGTTAAAAGCACTGAGTGCTGGAGCAGAGGACCCAGGTTTGGTTCCCAGCACTCACATGGCGACTAACAACCATCCAAAACTCTAGTTCCAGGGGATTTGACACCTTCTTCTGACATCCATGGGCATTGCATGGCATGGGTGCACTTACATACATGCAGGCAATACACTCATACAGATTAAAAAAAAACAAACAAACTGTACCAAGGAGGGAACGTCCTACCCCTGTTCAAGGTATGCCCAGCCCAGTTGCACAGGGAGCACAAGGGAAGGAAAGTTGACTTGAAGACACCTGTCTTGCCTTCCCAGGCAACCCCTTTGGTGGCATCTTAGATGGCCTTGATCCACACCTCCATCTCACTGTGTGCAGTTCAGCTGCCTCTTCTTAGATCTGCTTCCCCTGGGGCTGGGATAGCATCTGACTTACCTCTGCTGCCCTAGTTCCTCAACACAGACACAGTTTCTGTGAGAAGACACCGGCTGGCTGGATTTAACCAGGTGAGGACAATAAGCCTTATATACATGTCTGCTCTTCCTTCTCCTGACAGCTCTATCCCATGGAACTTATCTCAGCCAGACCCTTTGACAGGCCCCTAAGCCTCTTACCAGAGTGGGAGAGAATGTGGGCTTTCAGCTTGTCTGGCCGGTTGAATTCCTTGCTGCAGCCTGTGTGTGTCCTGGAAGCCAAAGCCATCAGTCAGGGGAGCACAGTAGCTTGAATCCTCTAGCTGGTCCCTCCACTAGCCTTTGTCAACCAAAGAGCTAGGGAAATGAGGCAGGCAGGGCCCAGGACAGGATAATGGAGGCCCTTGGCCCTCAGGCCTGACGTCTTCAGTCCAGTCCTCCATGTTGGCCCCTCTGGGGGAGTCTAAGCCCAGACCCACACACAAGGCAGCCCCTACTCACGAGAAGGGACACTTGTACTTCTTGAAGGGCTCGTGGATCAGCATGTGTCTCTTCAGCTTGTCCTTGCGGTTGAATGCAGACTCACACACGGAGCATTTGTAGGGCTTCTCACCTGTGGGGACACAGAATGAGGCAGCAAGGGTCCCATGAGGAGGAGTCTGAATGTGCAGCCCTGCTCCTCCCCAGGGAGGTAGCTTTTCTTATTCTTCTTGAGTTTTTGCAGGGAAAATAGGGAAGAAGTTTCTGTGGGTTTTTTTGAGACAGGTTCTCCCTGTAGCCCCAGCTGTCCTAGAACTCACTATGTAGACCAGGCTGGCCTTGAACTCACAAAAATCTGCCTGCCTCTGCCTCCCAAGTGCTGGGATTAAAGGAGTGCGCCACCATGCCCGGCCTGTGGTTTTTAAGACAGAGTCTCATTATGTAGCTCAGGCTGGATTGGAATGCACAGTCATGCCTCAGCCTCCCAAGTGCTAGGATTACAGGATGGTGGCAGTATAGAACTCAGGGCGTGATGTACACTAGGAAAGCACCCCACCACACGGCACCACAGTCCCAGCCAGTTCCAGCTTAGGTGCTTCTATGGTGCTGACGTTAGTCTTGAACTCCTGGGTCAAGTGGTCTTTCTCCCTTAGTCTCCTCGGTTGCTGGGACTTCAGGTATATGCCATTGCACCCAGGGCAATATCTTAAAATTTCATTTATT